AGCCGGCCCCAAAATGGGGCTGCCCCTTGGAAAGGCGCTGTGCAGGGGACAGCGGCTGTCCCCTTGTCACAGCCGCTTTCACTCCTGTGCTGGGGAGGCTCAGCTCTCCTCCATCCCCCCATCCCAACCTCATCCCTACATCGCCTCTCCATCCTACTAGGAGCAGCCCTAAGGCAGCTGAGCACCCAGCTCTGGCTCCCAATAATAATTGGTTATTATTAATGATTAAGGCATGAGGAAGCCAAGGGGGGATCAAGCTCAAGGCTCCTCGCCCATTGTGTCCCCAACGGCCTCCTGCTGAGGCTGTGTTGGAGCTCCAGGTGCCCCCCCAGGAGTGTCATGGGCCAGCCCAGGTCAGGATGGTGGGTGCAGCCGAGTGGGTGATTGTCCCCCAGCCCACGGTGCCAGTGGGCAGCAGGGCCACGGCTGCCAGCCAGCCCCGCACGCTTGCCTGCCAGGCATGGGGACAGCTATTTATAGCCCCTGCACAGGACACTAATGCCATGCAGGGGCTGCTATAAAAAGCAAGTCTCAGAAAAGGTCTCGGAGCAAATGCTGGTGTGAGGTCTCCATGCTGAGGCCTGGAAAGGTCCCAGTTTGAGTCACGCTGATTCACCCTGGTCCTGCTGCATGCCCAGTAAGCCCAGCCACCTCTTGTGGCGAGGGGATGGGGCTTCTCTGGGGAAAGCAGCATCTGTCTCATCACCAAGAGCATTCCAGTCCTCCAACACATGAGGGGGTTTACTCCGCCCAGCAGAGCTGGACCTGGCTGGAGCGCTCCCAGCTCGGCTCCTGAGCAAAGAGGACAATGAAGACCCCCAGGAAACCATCACCCTCCTGGCAATGCTGTGCTGGCAGAAGTGCTAATACTTTGGCCAACACCTTTGTTTCATAGCTGAGGCACTGGTCCATTGCCTCCCCAGCCCGTGCTGCCTTTGAAGCTCGGTGTGTCAGCCCAGCATGTTCCTGTTGGGTTGCTGGAGCCCAGGATGGTGGGCTGGAAGTTGTGCTTTCTGCGACACAGCAAGGTCTGTGCTCAGCTGCAGTTGCAAAACACTCATGAACAAACCAAGGGAGGAAGTTTCGACAGCCAGGCAACGCCAGGGTGAAGGAGCAGAGACATTTCAGCTCCACTATCACCCCATTGTAATCCCTTCAGGAGAGCTACCCAGTGCCACCCTGTGTGCTGCAGCAGGAGTACAAGGGGCACGCTGGCAACCTGCAGGAGACAAGGGACTGAAATGGGTGTCCAGCGTGTCCTACAGCCCAGTGACCTCCCCCTGCTCAGGGGCAGGAGGAGCACAGCCCCATCCCTCCTCTCTGGGGAGGACCATTGAGAGGGCTGACTCTGAGGACACAAGTCCCTGAGAGCACAGTCTGGGAAGAAAGGTGGTGCTCAACAGCAGCGCTGCGGCAGAGGGCACGGCCCAGCCAGCTGCGATACTGGGAACGCAGGCACAGCCCAGGGGCTGGTATAACCAAACCTGAGCCAGTTCTCCAGAGCTGCTCCCTTGGTCCCTTGCTCTGCAGCGCCCTTTTCTCTCCGGAAGGCAGCTACATTCTGTTTGATGGGGGCTCCGGGGAAGGCAGAGGCAAGACATCCCAGACAGTCCCGCACAAACACAGGGTGTGCACAAAGGACTCGCTGCAAGCCAGTCTTACAAACACAAGTACATAATGTTTATTTCGAAGTTTCCAATTTATTACAAGTACAGCCCTTAGCAGAAACCCCCTCCCCCCGCAAATGACATTTATTTTTAAAAAACGTACAGTTCCAAAGGTTTCACCGTGTAGGACCTGCAGAAAAATGTTCTCTATGAACAGGACAAAATGAAGCCTCTGAAGGGGATGTGCGAAATACAAATGTCAGTGGTATTCTGTGGGGCAGGGAGCTGAGGCTGGGGAGAGGGGAAGAGGGAAGTGACTGGAAACCTGCCTCATCTCTGCAGCCATCAACAGTCCAGAACTGAAACGAATACCTGTTAAAAAAAAAACAAAAACAAAACCACCCTAAAAAGTTCACAAAACTAGGCCACAATTTTTAGTCAATGATTCTTCTCAAATCACAGAAGCTGCAACAGCTACTTTTGCTTTTCTGTTACAAAACCAGTATAGAGCAGCCCTGTGTCTGGTTTGTTCCAAATTTAAGACTTCTATAATAAAAAGTTCAAGCCCTGATTGTATGATCAAAACCTGTCATGAGGGAGAGGGAGAGGTGATGAAAAAACACACCCTTTTCCTAGAGAAAAGTCAGTCTCTCGGGCGGCAGGACCCAGTGGCGGGCGCTGCGGCAGAGCAGCCTCCCAGCAGGATCAGGCTGGTTGGCCGGTGCAGGACAGTCCTCGCTGTGCTGGGGGAGTGCGAGGGAGGTGAGCTAGGGAAGGTATTACTATAAAACATGGTGAGAGCGTGGCTAGAGAGGGACTGGGAGAACCCCCAGCAACAAGTCTCCCGGTGTAACTCCAGCTACTGGTAGGAAAATGAATTTTAAGAGGGGGGGAAATATAAAGCAAACACGATTTCATATAAACTGTACATGTGCCAAAGCAAGACAACGGTATCTTACAGGTGTTCTTTGTACAAGATCACAGCTAGAAACAAGCAACTTTTAACTAGAAAATTAATTTAAAAAGTTACACAGACCATGTTTCTGCTGCTCCCCTTGCCCTGGAGCTCCCTACAGGGCACACAGAAAACCACGTTCTCCAGTATGCTTCTGGCACTCTGTCCATCCAAAGGGCTACATGATGTGTGCTGTTCAAGGTGAGCAGGGAAGCCAACTGCCTCCTCTTCGCCATGTACATGTGAAGAGCTGAGCTGAGAAGAACCCTCTTCAGAGCGCAACCTCCAGAGATTGCTCCCCGATAAGAGAGAGAGGGGAAAAGCAAGAGCACCTCGAAGCCAATTGTGTTAGGATGCTGGTGAAAGCCATGTCTCCATAAATGTAAGTGCTTGCTCGCCCTATGCAGCCCTTCACTGGGGGCTCAGAATTAACACCATATAAATATATACATACAAGAACTAGCAGCCCATTGGCCTCATCGCACCCAGTCCTTCCGTGAAGCAATATGATCCCTCCCTGCACCAGCTCAAGGCTGGTTTCACATCACAGGCAGCAGACGGCAGAGGTCCCACCGCGCTCTGGTGTTGACTGCTGGTGGAGGGGAGGAAGTGGCTCATCCCAAGGAAGCCGACAGCGCCCGAGCTGGAGTAGGCTTCGTGCTCCCCTGCTCAGCCAGGCCTTGGCCAGGCCTTCCCCTCACCCTCCCACCTTCTCCTCCTAGCAAGACAGACTCGTTCAGAGCTTTGTGGATTTTGCAGGAAGCAGTAAATCATCTCTGCTCACTCAATGGATGACCAAATAGTTGAGGAAATTGCAGAAAAATTAAAACTAGGACAGGCCAAAGGGAAGGTTGGATTAACAGAGAAGTGCCTGTTGCTTCCCAACTCCCTCCAGACAACCCATCCTGCTGCCCGACAGCACCAGAAGACCTGCTCCAGCTCTGGCTCTGGCTCTCCCTCTAGTCTCCCCATCCCTCATTTCTTCCTTTTCCGCCCCCGGGAATGTTCAAGGGGCTCTGACTCACTGTCCCCTTCCTGCTCCTCCAGTCCCTGGCACCTGGCAGACAGCTTCTTGCGTTTCCTGCGTGCATACGTGTGGCCAGGCAGGTGTTTGTGCACCATGTCAATCAAACACTGTTCCGTCTTCTCCACACAGGACAGTACGTGACTCTCGTTCTGGTTGTAGCGCTCGGCATTGGAGAACACTTGCTTGATGTCAGAGAGGAACTCCTGCACTGAGCGGTAATTGCCACAAGAGCACTTGCTCTGCATAGTCTGGAAGTCCATAGGGTTGCTGATGACCTCAAAGTAATCTTCGGCTTCCTCCGTGGTCACTGGCTCCCTGCCGAACGAAGAGCCACAAAGATAGGAGGAAAATGATGGCCCTGCCCGCACACAGTGCAGCGCTGCAGAGGAGTGAGAATCACCCCCACCCCCTTTGCTCGAGCAGCAGCCCCGACCCGCACCCCTCCACTGCCGTAACAAACCCAAGCAGCACCTCGACAGTGCTACAGACATGTCAGCCCCGCAGCAGCCACAGCACAATGATGGGACAGACAGCAGCTTGTCCTGCTCAGAGCTGGTCCAGGCACAGGGACTGGCATGGGGCAGGCACAGCTGCCTTCTCTGTCACGCTGCCTACAGAGCGCCCTGCACATCCTGGGGGCTGCAGAAAGCACCCACCCCAGCCTCCCCTCTTTGGCCCACAGCCTACCACCCTCTGTTACACCACCTCAGAAGGGCCCCACATCTTCAGTCCAGCAGAGGACTGACAGCATGTGGTGGTGTCTTCTGGAGCAGCTTCACTCCCTTTCTTCCCATCCATAACTTGCTTTTGAAACCCCGGTTTTGCAGCCAGCGCGTAGATCCAGCAGGACTGCAGCATGGCCAACCCACAGCTCCACACTGCCTGTGGACAGTCCTGTGCCTACGGAAAAGGAGGCCACCTGCCCTCACCTGAAGGGCCAGCTAAAGCGGTACTTGATCAGCTTGCTGAGGATTTCCTCACACTTCTGCAACTCGAGGTTTTGGCGACGTGCCGTCTTCTTTGTTTGAAGGACCTGCCCACACAAAGGATGCCGTTAAAAGGAGGGGAACCACTACAGGCTTTAGCATTCAGCAAACAGTTTTGAGGGCAAAGCAGCTGGTTCTTAGCATAGCTTTTTTTCCTTCAATCCTCTCGCTTACAAGCTAGTGTCTCAAGGGGTGGGGATACGTAGTACTGATGCAGAAATAAAGTTCAAGTCTTTCAAATGCAGCCATCTTCCACAATAATCAAGAGGCAAACTGCTCTGCTGTGGGACCTTTGATGGTAACAGCCAAGACATGCAGTGGCAGCTTGAGTTACAGAACGGGAGCCCCATCCAGAAGCTCTGATGCAAACAGCTCACAAGCAGCCTGTCTTTTCTCTGGGGGCAGCAAGCTTTTTCAAGAGAGGTTCAAAGACAGTACGGTCAAAACAAGCAGCCAAAGAATAAGTTACAGCAAATCGAGAGTGTGTATTCCCTCTCCCTGCCTTCTCCAAGCCCCTGGTGGACAGCACAAGAGGCAGAGGGAGAAAGCACTTGTGCTGCTGTACTGACACTGCAGAGCCGACCATGCCATTTTAAATACCAAAGAGCAGCTGATGCCTCAAGCACTGCTGTCCCTGTCCCATACACAGGCTGAACACAAGGTCAGCCATTTGCCTGGGGGATCCGCAGCAGGTCAGCCACCAGCACAGGGACATCCCCTCAGCTCTGAGCACACAGCTCGTGAGGCATCACTTCTTAGGGTACGTCAGACGACAGGAAGGCTCCACAACGCAGGGCACTATTCATGAGCCAGCTTCCGTCTCTTCCCAGGACAGTAAGTGCATGAGCCCCAGTACAGCCCTCCTTCCTCAAGTCAGTGTTTTGTCTAAGACCCCAACCCAGCTGTCCGAGTAAGATTTTCCCCATTTGAATATACCCCCAAGCTGGCTGCGGCAGCCCACGCTGGGCTTGCTGGTTTGGTTGCTCTCCAATCTGTAACACAGACCAGCTAAAAGGACACTGCAGATCCAGTAGCCAGCCCACCCACACCCGGCTTAAGAAGCAGTGAGCCCCAAGACCAGCATCAAGCCCACTCAAGAAGAGTGACAGGATACACCAGCACTAGCAGTGCTGGTCAGTGGACAGATGGCAGCTCTAGCAGAGGCTTGTGACATGGCCCATGGGGCTAGAGTATCCTAATGTATCCTCTGTGGTGTGTTCCTCCCCAGGACAAACAGCTCAGCGTGCTGCAGCTCCACCCTGCCTAGCACACATGCACGCACAGGATTGCTCTGTTCAGGAGCATAAGGTTTTATTCTTTAAATGTCAAGTGAAACCTAAACCAGCCAAATTATGTCCTGGAGATTGGGGAGTGACCATACGGACAACAACTGTCACAAAACAGCCAAGGCTGGGGAGCAAGGGTCCAACATTGCTGGCATTCTCTGACCATCCAGGACCCCCTCAGTCCCCCCACCTCGCTGCAGAGACATATGGATACTATTTAAAACCCTTTAACAAGCTGCAGGCTGCCTGCTACTCAAGGGGGACAATGTCTGAAAGCGGCTGGGGAAAGATGCCTGGCATATCTGTGCTCCGTTTGTACCGGGCCCTTAAGGATCTGCCTCCTTTGTTAACCCGCTCCCAGCCCAGCCCAGGTTTCACAATACAATTCAGGGTATTTCTTTGGGAAGGGGAGGGGAGGAAGCACGACACCTGTTTCGTTTATAACTCATGATGTGAGCAGCCTCGGGGGAGCAATTTGGCTCTTACCAGCTCATCAATGTCTGCGCCATTGACAGGTGCAGCCCGCTGCCGGGGTCCCCTGGCAGGGTGCAGCGACTGCTTCTTCCTTTGGTGCCTTCCTTGCCTCGAGGAGTACATGGCTGTGCTCTGCTTGCCCCGGGCTGCCTTTCTGGGTCTCACTGAAACATATAAGCCGTGGGCTTAGAGGAAAGAGTTAACCTGGAAGCAAAGATCCCGACCCCTTTGCCTGGCTGTACATACCAGGCAGACCCTCGCTCACAGCACAGAGGAGGTAGCTAACCCAGAGACTGACTGTGGTGAGTCAGCTTCTTGTCAGCCTGTCCTCAATCAGCACGTGCTCGTGTCAGCTGTGCTCTTGATACCCTCTCCAGATGAGATACGCAGGTAATCACCTCCTGTCATAAGAGGCCATTGCTGTCTGGCAACAGCCTTCTGCTGAAGGGTGGTCACACACGCTGGCCAATAGCACTGGCAGATTCTTGGGCTCCGAGGGAGACCTGGGAGCTTCCAGCTCCTCTGCTGCAGGTAAGGCTTGCCCAGGGCTGTAACAGCGAGCCCCTCCGCCTGCAGAACCAGGTGCCAAGACCCCGACACATCGAGACTTGAAGGAGGGCAGGGGGAGCAATGCAAAGACAGACACTTGTTTCAAATATAGCTGCAACATCCTTTCTGAAAGCACCGGGAACAGAAACTTGCAGTTTCCCCTGTTTCCTGTTGCCCCCTTGCTCCTCACGGCTTTGGGAATGGGTGCTTTTCCAAGCATTTACAAGTGGCCCACACAGCGGGATAAGCCAGTTGCTAAGCCCCCCTGAAAAGTGAACTGTGTGCAGGGGGAGTGTAGAGTTACTGCAGCCGGGAGCTGCTCCACGTGCTGCAAGTGGGAAACAATGGGATTTTATTCCCCGAGACTGGGGCTGCTGCATTATATCTCATAGAAAGGCGCTTGCCTGTTTGTCAGTCTGCCTGTCAGAGCTTCACACTGATGGCAACGCAAGCGTGCTGACACACTCCCTTGTCTTAAGTTTCTCCCATGACCCCTCTGTATCAGGAGAATGTGTTGGTCTTCTTCCCCAGCCAAGCTCCTTCCACCTGGTCACAAGTGCTTCAGCAAGCTGTATCCAGCACCCTGTAACACTTCATCTGCGGCCTCTAATCCAGCCCTGTCCAATAAATCATCCTGCTGGGCCCCCCCGCAGGAGGAGCGTGTGTCAGGACAGTGGGACGTCTGCCTGCTGTCGCTCTGCTTGTGTTGTCAAGCGTGCGGCACGTGTTAAATGTCTGACAATCCAACATTCTAGGTTATATCCCTCAGGATAAACGCCATGAGGATTAATGGGACGTCTCTATTAAAACAAAAGTTTTCCACAGTGACCTTTCCATGTTAATGCTCTTTAAAACCAGGAGTTGCATTTAGCGCTTTATTTTTAGTGACTGTAACCCTCTTTTGCTATTGTTTGGAAACCTTGGCTCAGCTCCTGACTTGGCCAAGCAACATAGGCTGAACACACTCCAAGTGTGGACATGGATACACCACGGAACAACAAGCAGCACACATAGCCAGGGTATCAGTGAACATCCCTGAAACCAGAATAAAGCAGGGGAATCAAGACCGATAGACCTGGATGGAAACCCTTGAAAGAACATGGCATAATCCTTTGGGTCCCACCATCTGCCCTGGTTAAGACATTCTGAAGTTAATTTTATGTCAGTCAAGGGCATTTTGACAGAAAGCAAATGCTGGCAGTGTGCCATTCCAAGATGGATCTTTTCAGTGCATCAAGTTGCCTAAACGAGACAAATTCCCCTAAAAACAAAGGGGATACACATACTAAAAAGCGGTTAAGTGGAGAAGTAGTCATTGAGGAGTCTAGAAAACGCTATTTTATTCCACTCAGCTGCCCAGGAATAAGCTGGTTAGGCATCCCGAGTGCTCTCTGTATGCAACCAAAGGGTGCTGGTGGTCCAGGCCACACTACACCTCGAGTGCTACCCACACAAACGGGCAGAGAAAATGCTAGTCCCGCTATTTGAAGATGCCTCCTTGCCAAATCACTAGAAATCCTACATTTAAGAGGTTACAAGCTGCTGGGAAGGGAAAAAATGAGGAGAGGGTGTTGTAGTTAAAGCTCCACAAGCATCTGCCAGTTTACCCACAAACCCTGCAGGCACAGACACTGTCAATACCAGTAACTGATAATGCTGTTGCCTCACCCTGCCCTGCTGCAGCCTCTGCTGATGGCCTCACAGCACTCTTAATGGTCTCTGCAGCATTCCCAGGAGAGCGACTGCTCACTGCAGTTTCAATCTTTGCTAGCGCTGATCCTATCACAAAGGGCCAAAAGTTCACTCCAGCTCCCCAGGCAACATACAGCACCACCACAGCCTCCCCCTGTGACACGTCCCACTGCTTCCAAGTAAGAACCTGCTCTGTGTGAGGAAAAGCACAAGTCCCAAATAGGATCCATACTTTGGACACTGACGCCAGAGTCTCAATATTTTCTTTCATGCATCAAAGCCTTACATTTCAGTCCGGCAACTTCATAATCTTCTTCCTCCTCTTCTTCCTCCTCAGCATCTGGTTCATCAGAAGCTTCCTCACCTTCATCTTCATCTTCAGCAGAATCCTCTGCATAGTTCCTAGAGTAAGGCAGGTAAACACATTTGTTGTATCAGAGGCCCTGGGCCCTCTGTTCTGTTTGTTCATAGGCAAGAGACTCGCTGCCCACCCTAATGTAAAATAAACACCCAGTCTCAGACTGAAGCAGCCTAATGTATTTCAGAGAGTATCAAGTTGTAGCTACAGCTGAAAGGGCACTTCCCAGGCTATCGTCTGAACATCTGGGCTGAAAATCCCCAGCAGCTGAACCTGTGTATTTTTTGCTGTTCTAGGCACCTTGGCCACGTGATAACGGATTTTAAGACTGTGATTGCTGTGCAATTACTCCTCCCCAAGAGGACGTGCTGCTGTTTTACGCAGATCTGCAGGCCTGGCCTAAGGAGTTTCAAAAAGGGGGCTTTTTTGTTTCTGCTGGAGTATTTTCCCATTACGTCCTTCCACTGTCACGCCACTTGCATGTGCACTATAGGAAAGAGACCTCGTTTAGTATTCACAGCTAGGCTTGTATTTATTAGTGAGCAGAGCCTCAGACTTCTTACGTGCTGATGTCAGAAGCCACAGAGACTCCCTGGCCAGGACAGTTCTGACTTCTCATATATGTCTGTTAAAGCATTCAAACCATTACAAAAACAGGAAAACAAACCAGCATGCATAGGCAAAAGGGGACAAAAGCAAAGCTGTTGTGGGAGCCTCAATCCTCTGGAGAAAGAGGATCTTGAGCAGTAAAAGGAGTAAGAATAAGCTCCCACAGTACAGGGAGGGCAAAAGTGCTCCCAGGCTGACATTTTTTTCCTGCCTTAGCTAAGAAGACAAGAGCAGAAAGCAGATAACAAGACAGGTGTTACCCCACCTGATGGCTCTCATCCAGGAGCCAAGCAGCTTGCAGGTGACTCTGCCACATCAAAGTAACTATGATCTCAGGCTAGAACAGCTGCATTGAAGCCCTGTCACTTTCATACAAGCCTGATGAACTCTTAAATGGTGCCCAGGGAGTAAGGAATACTTTTAAGGCCATATACCACCTGCACATTACAAGCTAGTATACCTCTTACTGTGCTGCTGCTCTGGAAGGGAGGATCTGCTGACTGCTTATGTTTCAGATGCCATTTGATAGCCTCACCTTGCTGACAAGCAGGTAGGTGCAGTACAAGAGTTACAATCAGCAGAGGAAATACATTGTAAACAGAAAAATATATCCCACATACATTTAGCTTCCAGCTTGCAATTCAAAAAACAACTCAACTCCTTGCTGTTAGGAGGCATCTAATAATTTCTGCTGCACAGAACAACTTTGATTCCTTCTCAAATCATGTTCCCTCTGTAGCCCTATAAGAACTCCTGCCTTGTTAAGGTTTATCAGATCCAGAAAATCATCAGTGGCATGTTGTAGCCTGATTTGCAGTAGCACAGTAGGGGCTGAGCTGCAGCCTGGAGTAATGTCTGCTCTGACTTGACAAGAATACAACAGGAACTTAGCCCATCAGGCTATGGAGCTGCAGTGCTACCAACTACATTCCCATGAAAAAAAAAGCAACTCAATTAGTTGCTCAGTCAAAGAAAACAACAGCCCTTAGCACATCCAGTTTTGGCTGATGTTTTGTGCATGTTTTCACTGCCACACTCAAGTTATTTATTAAAACCCCTGAAGTTGTCATGGGTCAGTACAACACAGGTGTGCTAAAGTTACAGCCTGAAAAAATTGCTTTTCTATTGTTCCAGTGCCATTGAGTTAACTAAGCCATTTCAAACCTATCAAAGGGGCTCTGTCTCAGGCTGTTCTGGTCATCTTGTGAAAGCATGGCCAGAGCTGTGCACCAGTGGCAGCGCAAAGCAAAGGAGGGTCACTTACCTGTCCCGCGAGCTGCGCCTGGCAGTAGAAGGCTGACATGCTGGGCACTGCCATTCACCGTCTGGTATCTCATAGAGCGCCGGTCTCAGGCAAAAGAGGTGGAAGGCTTTGTTACACTCATCACACAGGATCAGCTTGTCATCCTCACCTAGGAGAGTGCAACTTACTTATAACCAAGTGTTACAGCCTTGCTCAACCTGAGAAGCAGAAGCTGCTGCAGCGCTGGAGGTCAGGACAAAGCAAGAGAAAGATACAAAGTGCCCTCCGATGGCAGGGATCCTTCCTTCTCACTTCCACCATTGCAGTGGAAACCAGCAGCACTTAAAAAACAAACAAGACAATGCAAAGTCCTGTGCCCTGCAAAGATTTCATTTGAGGCAAAATTAGAAACCTTAATAGGTTAGAAACCAAAAATTTGGTTAGAAACCAAATAGGTTCCACCCAGGCTAAA